CTCTGTGCTGACTGTGGGGAGCCCGACACAGGACTCCAACCCACTAGCCACAAGATCATGACCTAAGTTGAAATCCAAAGTCTGATGCTTTACTGACTGAGCCACCCAGATGCTCCTACTACTGATCCAGTTCTTTCTTTTTTTTCAATGTTTATTTATTTTTGAGAGACAGAGAGAAACAGAGCAAGAGCAGGCGAGGGGCAGAGAAACAGGAGACACAGAATCTGAAGTAAGCTCTAGGCACTGAGCTGTCAGTACAGAGCCCAACATGGGACTTGAACCTGTCAACCATGAGATCATGATCTGAGCCGAAGTCGGATCCTTAACCGACTCAGCCACCCAGGTGCCCCACTACTTATCTAGTTCTAATTAACTCAACAAGAATAAAAGACTGTCAGAATCTCTTAAAATCAGCAACATCAATGAAGTCATTACTCTTTTCTTTTGTAAAGAGAACTTCTAGTTTATTTAATTTATTTATTTTAACATGTATTTATTATTGAGAAACAGAGAGTGACAGAGCATGAACAGGGAAGGGGCAGAGAGAAGGGGAGACACAGAATCTGAAGCAGGCTCCAGGCTCTGAGCTATCAGCACAGAGCCCGACGTGGGGCTCAAACCCACAAACTGTGAGGTTATGACCTGAGCCGAAGTCAGATGTTTAACTGACTAAGCCACCCAGGAGCCCCAATAAAGTCATTCCTCATTTATATTATAAGTAAAATAATTTGTAAAAAATTATTTTACTTATAAAATAAATAAGTGCCTCCCAATGATTATCTTTTAAATATATTTTTAAAAATTATCTTTAAAATCTTACTTACTTTTAGAATAGATAATACATCCTCATGACTAAAAAACCACCAGTACAGGGCTGCCTGAGTGGCTCAGTTGGTTAAGCATATTACTCTTGATTTAGGCTCAGTTCATGATCTCATCGTCTGTGAGATAAAGCCCCAAGTTGGGCTCTGTGCTGACAGTGTGGAGCCTGCTTGGGACTCTCTCTCTCTTCTTCTCTCTCTGCCCCTCCCTCCTCATGTGTGCTCTCTCTCCTTCTGTCAAAATAAATAAATAAACATTTTTTAAAAATCAAGAGGTACAAAAGACTATATTATGAAAAGTCCCCCTCCTGCTATTCCGTTGTCCTTCCTAGCAGCAATCAATTGATGATATTAGTTTCTTTTAAATTCTTGCAGGAATATTTTTTGCATATGTAAGCAATGCATATATATATATTACTTCCATCACTTCATACAGGAATGTTAGTATGTAATATACATTGTTTAGACCTTTGCTTTTTCACTTAATAATAGATTTTTAAATTTTTTTTCATGATTATTTATTTATTTTAAGAGAGAGAAAGAGCAGGAGAAGGGGAGGGGCAGAGACAGAGAGAGTCACAGAATCCAAAGCAGGCTCTGCACAGTCAGCCCAGAGCCTGATGAGGGCCTCAATCTGACAAACTGTGAGATCATGACCTGAGCCATAATCAAGAGCTGGTTGCTAAACTGACTGAACCACCCAGGAGCCCCACTCTTTTTTTTTTTTTTTAATTTTTTAATGTTTATTCATTTTGAGAGACAGAAAGAGAGAGACAGAGCATGAGTTGGGGAGGAGCAGAGAGAGGGAGACACAGAATCTGAAGCAGGCTCCAGGCTCTGAGCTGTTAGCATGGAACCTGATATGGGGCTTGAATTCACGAACTGTGAGATGGTGATCTGAGCTGAAGTCAGTATGCTTAACTGATTAAGCCACCCAGGCGCCCTCCCCCAACCTTTTTTTTTTTATTTTTAACCTATTTAATTTTAGAGACAGAGAGTGGGGGAGAGGGGCAGAGGAAGAGAGAGAGAGAGAGAGAATTCCAAACAGTGCCCCATGCTCAGCATGGAGCCAGAGATGGGCTCAATTCTACAAACCAGGAATATGACCTAAGCTGAAATCAAGAACAGGACACTCAACCAACTGAGCCATCAGCTGCCCCTCACTTAACAATAAATCTTGAAAATCATTCCATATCATTAAAGAATTTGCTTATTTTTGTGGCAGCAGAATATGTATTGTAGGAATACACTGTTATTTAAACTAGTTTATTAATAAGCTGTTTATTTTTTTTATTAAAAAAATTTTTTAATGTTTATTTACCTTAGAGAGAAAGACAGAGCATGAATAGGAGAGGGGCAGAGAAGGAGACACAGAATCTGAAGCAGGCTCCAGGCTCTGAGCTGTCAGCACAGAGCCTGACACACAACTTGAACTCTTAGACTGAACCAGGAGATCATGACCTGAGCTGAAGTCAGATGCTCAACTTACTGAGCCACCTAGGTGCCCTATTATTAAGCTGTTTATTAACAAACATTTAGGTTTTTTACAATCTTTTGTTCCATTAAAAAAAGCTTGTTAGAAGTATAATTTCTGAGTCAAAGGAAATGTGCTTTTAATAATTTGATAGGGGTGCCTGGGTGGCTCAGTTGGTTAAGCATCCAACTCTTGGTTTCAGCTCAGGTCACAATCTCATGGTTTGTGGGTTTGAGTTCCACATCAGGTTCTGCACTGGCAGTGTGGAGCCTGCTTGGGATCTCTCTCTCTCTCTCTCTCTCTCTCCTCTTCCTCTGCCCCTCTCCCACTTGTGCTGTCTCTGTCGCTCTCATAAATAAATAAATAAATAAATAAATAACTTAAAAAATGATTTTAAAAATTTGATAAATACAATCCTCAAGGGGCACCTGGCTGGCTCAGTCAGGTAAGGATCTGACTTCGCTCAGGTCATGATCTCACATTTGGTGGGTTTGAGCCCCGCATCAAGCTCTGTGCTGATAGCTCCAAGCATGGAGCCTGCTTTGGATTCTGTGTCTCCTACTTTCTCTGCCCTTCCCCCCCTCCACTTTTTCTCTCTCTCAAAAATAAATAAACATTAAAAAAAACACCCTCAAATTGTCTTCCATAGAAGTTGTTCCAATTATACTCCCAGCAACAAAATAGAAGCGTACATGTCAAATTGCCCCTGCCACTCTACCTGTCTTACCAGTCTTGTAGATCTTTATCAATCTGATAGATGAAAACTAGCATTTCAAACAAATTCTAATTTGCATTTCTCTTTAAAAAAATTTTTTTTATGTTTTTATTTATTTCTGAGAGAGAGAGAGAAACAGCATAAGCATGGGAGGATCAGAGAGAGAGGGAGCTAGCTGTCAGCACAGAGCCCAACTCGGGGCTCGAACCCACAAACCGTGAGATCATGACCTGAGTGAAGTCGGATGCTTAACCGACTGAGCCCCCATGCATTTCTCTTCTTATAAGTAAGAGTGAGCATGTAAGGCCATTTCTTCACATATGTGTGCAAATAAATATATATATACATATATATTTTTTTAAAACATTTATTTGTTTTTGAGAGAGAGAGAGAGCACAAGCATGGGAAGGACATAGAGAGAGGGGGACACAGAATCTGAAGCAGGCTCCAGGCTCTAAACTGTCAGCACAGAGCCCAATGGGGCTCGAACTCACTGTGAGTCCAGGACCTGAGCCAGACAGCTAACCTACTGAGCCACCCAGGTATCCTCCCCGACCCTGCCTCCAAAAAAACCGTCTTTCAGCACAGGTAGTTTGAGAAGAACTAAGGATGGTTTGACCTCAGTTAAAAGTCAAATGGTTTGTGCCTACTAAGGAAAGGAAGGCAGAATATAGGAGCAGAGTTACAGGCAGAGTAGTCAGAGGTTGGCTAGAAATCATGGTGGCTGGTGGGGAACTTGTAGATGTTATCTTTCTTTCTTTCTTTCTTTCTTCTCTTTTTTATCAGTGAATTGGTAGTAAAATCATGAGTTAAGTGATGATGAGGGAGAAAGGTTTGAAAAGAGATGTGAAATAGTCATCTAGTAGGCTGGGACAGTGTGTGGAACTGGAGAGATGTAGTAGTATAGCTATACATTAGGGGCCTAGTGAGGATAAAGATTATTAATTTTAAAGAGAGCCAAGTCAGTATGATTCTGGATTTTTTTCCACTCTCCCCGGTTTTGCTGCAAGTTCAGGATTAGATTTCATCAGGTGAGTACAAGGAAAGGAAAACAGGATTGGAGAAATAAAGGCTACTACCTAGGAATTTTTTTTAAAGTTTATCTATTGAGAGAGAGAGAGAGAGAGCATGAGTGCGCACGCAAGTGTGAACAGGGGAGGAGCAGAGGGAGAGAGAGTATCCCAGGCCAACAAGTGCTGTCAGCTTAGAGCCCAATGTAGGACTCAATCTCAGGAACAGTGAGATCATGACCTGAGCAAAATCAAGAGTTGGAGGCTTAACCTACTGAGCCACCCAGGTGCCCTGGAATGATTTTCATGATGGACAATAGAATCTAAACTCAAGGACGTTCAAGGAGGGAAAGTGAGGACAGAAGGGCCATGTTAGGAAGAGTGAAAAGATAATAGGATCATTGGATTTTGAGTCTTGGAGGAGTTGAAGAAGTTTTGGAGTGGGGTCTTAGAGGAAGAGAGCTAGAAATGAAGGGATTTGTGATGGGAGGGCCAGATAATTAAAATTGAGATTATAGAAGGGTTACAATGATTGGATATGATAGGATCTAAGATAAGAGCATGGAAATGAGAGCCCGAGGCAAGGGTGGTCTCTAGTGGAGGGGAACCTGAGATGTGAGGGCATTGCAAAAATTACCTAACAAGACACAAATCACCAATAATTATGACAATGGTAGCAAATGACAAGGAACCAGAAACACAAGGGCCTATAGGTTACAGAAACGAGTTAGTGGTCTAATTTCCTGTTATGACGTAATATTCAAAGCTCTTATTTTTAAAAGGCGTTTAGGATTTGAGGAGGTGTGGCCCCTTTAAGGGCCAGCAAGGGGGAGAACCCAGAGGTCAAGCGCGCGGTCGGGACTCCTCCGCTGAGTCTGCGCAGAGGGAGTGGAGGCGCCGCCAAGCTGAGGCTCGCCGGTGGGGCGGGGCCCCGTGGGGGCGGAGTCTGCGCTCTGGATTGGGCTGCGGCTGCGGCTGCCGCTGCTGCACTTCCAGCTTCTGAGGGAAGGAGGCCGAGGCCTGGGCCAAGCCCGGAGCCGCCGCTCCCCGGAGCCCCCTGGAGCCTCCGCGCCGGCTCAGCCTGGGGGCGGGCTCAGGCCCGGCCCGCCGCCGAACCCAGGACAGAGGCTGCACGCCCGAGGACCAGGCCGGCGCAGCCATGGTGAGGGAGCGAGGCCTGCCTGAGCTGCAACCGCAAGCCACCCTAGCCCCCGCGGCCTGCCCCTCCCTAGCTCTGGTGTCCCCTCTGCCCCCTGCCTTTACCTCGCCCCCTTGTTACTACCCGCACCCCCCACCCCCGCCCGGCGCCTCGCTTCTCCTCCCCCTGTTCCCCGGCCACCTGCTGGGGTGACATTCCCCCATCACCCCAGCTCTCTCCTTCCCGGTGACACCCCCTTTTTTTTATCACCCCCAGTGACAGCTTCTTTCTGTGCCCCCTTTGCCGCCCCCTCCTCGTCCTTTAACCCGACCTTCCTTTTCTACTCTTACCATTTTGCCTTTTTCTCTCCTTTGGAAATCTCCTCTCTTTTTCCTCCCTATTTTCGCTCCTGCTCTTACCTCTCGCTTCTTACTCCCTTTCATCATTTTATCTCTACTGCCCCCTCCTCTTCGTATCCTTTCTCCCCTTCGTCCTCTACCAGCCACATTTCCTCTCCCCCTTAATCGGATGTCCTCTCTCCCCCGCTCTCACAGCTGTCCCCATTTCCTTCTAAGGCTTCAGGGGTCTATGCAGAAACAATTCGAGGGCGATTGCTTCCCAGGAACAGTGGGGCGGACAGATAGGGATTCGTAGGCTTTCTTCTTCCTTTTCTTTTTTGTAGAGGGAAAGGAGGAGATGGGAAGTATTGGGGAGAGCCTGGACGCCTTATTGCCTAATGTTATTGCAAAACCTGGATGATCGTGTGTTTTAGAGTGAAGCATGGGGTGAGGGCTGGCATCTGTACTATGGACCTTTTAAGATATCCAGTCTTTTGACAAATAATTAAACATGTTTTGAAATGTATTTTTATTTTGTGTGTCTTTTAGCGGGGAGCTACAGTCTGGGAAATTTAAAAATATTTATTTACAAGGTTCACTATTGCTCAGAGCAAATGGTTTGTTTTTGTTTGGAGGCAGAGACCAGGGCATCAGAAGCCTGGAAATCAGGTTGGCAGTCAGATTGTAACAATCTCTTTGATACCTTCTAATACCATCATTTATTTTGCTCTTTCTGTCTTTAGTTGAGAGACCCTAATATTTGCATATTTTCTCCTTCCTGTTTGAAAATAAGTTGAGGCTCCAGTTGGTTTTTCATTGAGTTGAGTTACATATGGTTTTCAGTACATTTAATGAACACATTGCCCTATCATATACAGCAATTTAAATTTTAGTCTCTGGGAGGAATAAGTCATTCTAGTTAAAACTTAAGTCCTGATAATCCTGTTCTCCTAGGAAGTTAGTCAATTTTTGTTCTTCCTCTGTCTGTTTTAGGAAAGTGGTTAATTATACAATCATTTAACCTGGGAACGTTCCCTAACTAACTGCGTTTTCAGGTTATTCTTTGTCTACCTCAACAACAACCCTTCACAGAAACAACCCATCACACTGTCTTTGTGTGTTAACCTCTTTCTCCCCCTGAAATGTGGGTTTTTCTAGGCAGCCCATTGTGTCTTACTTGTTCCTGTTATTCCCAGGGCACATACATAGTTGAATGATTTACTTTGTGGTCTCATTTTCCTATCTGACAAGTATGATTTTAAACTGAAATTTGAGGCAACTAGGGGACTACATAAAAAGAGTGAGTTTGAGAATTTTATTTTTGGTGCAAAAAATAAATTTAGTAAGATGGGATGATCTCTTTAGAATAAAGAGCTGTCCTGCCTAACACATCACATTTCTAGGTTTTTCGAAGCGTTGGCCCTCCCACTGAGAATGAATTTATAAGTACAGAGGGAGAAGATTTAAACTCTTTTTTGGGTGTTTAGGATCCAGAAGTGTCATTTGAGCTGGGCCTGAGAGATGAATATGATTTAGGTAATTTGCGGAAGGCAAAGAATGCTTTGTTGTGAATGCGAGCAAAAAGTAATTAGAGTATATTACACATAGCAGGATTACCTTTATTTAGCGTAGAGAGATGAGGAAATGAGGATGTATAATAGGAAATGTAATTAGAACGATATATTAGGATGACAATAATTTCAACTTTGCCTGCAACTAACTTGATTTTCTTTACTTGCTAAAACACATACATACAGAGTAAGAGTGTGTGTCTGCAAGAAATGAAGAGAATGGAAAATAATAGCTAAGAATGATCTTTAGAGGCTACTCTTTTTTATTTCCTTGTGCAATATATGTAGTAGGCACTCAGTAAATAGAGTTGAATGTTATTATAATGCTTTGTATTTTATATTTTGCAACATTTTCATTTCTCAGCGTTGTCATGTTGTGTTTTAAATAGTTGTCTAAGACAAGGGTTCTCAGATCTTACCATAAATCAAAATCAGCTGGAGGGCTGTGTCACCACTGCCTGAGTTTGTTTTATCAGGTTGGAGTAGGGCCTGATAGTTTACATTTCTAACAAGTACTCATGTCATGCTGATGTTCCTGTTTTGTAACCAGCACTTTGAGAACCTCTGGTTTAAGATGTAGTTCTTACTTTTTATTCTTAATTTTTTTTTTGAATGCCATTGATTGTGTTGGCACTGGGGTTGTTACAAATAATAAAACAAGTATGGATCTTGCCTTTTTGTATATTGTGTGTGTGACAATATAGACATCAAGCAAAAAGAGTAATTTTAAATGTGAAGAATACTAAGAAAAGTTGTGGGATCATGGTATGAGATAGTCAGGGCTGGCTTCTCAGAGGATTTTACTTTCAGGGAGAAAACTGATGGATTAAGTTATAGGAGTTATACTGTGGAAAACCACATAGAAGGAATAGCACAGTGAATGACCTGTGGTGGTACTGTCTCTTGCCTGCTTAACTCTGCATATACTGGAACTCAGGGAAACCTCATCCGTCCCTCTAACCCCAGAAAGAAAAACCCTAAGTCACAACTGCTCCATTGTGTAACCAATACTCTTTCATAGAATACATATCAATTGTAATTATAATGAGATCAAGCCATAAATGCTAAAAAATAAATCAGGATAAAATATAAAAATATAAAACATAAAATGACATTGTATAGGTGACCCTACTGTTGACTGGAAGCCTTACTGATAACATAGTCAATTAATAACATATTTTGTGTGTTGTATCTATTATATACTGTATTCTTAAAGTAAAATAGAGAAACAGTGTTACTCAGAAAATCATAAGGAAGAGAAAATACATTTTTTTCCTAAAGTTTATTATTTTTTGAGAGAGATAGCGAGCAGAGGAGGGCCAGAGAGAAAGGCAGAGAGAGAGAGAGAGAGACGGTGCAGAACCTGATGTGGGGCTCAGATTCATGAACCAAGAGATCATGACCTGAACCAAAACCAAGAGTTGGATGCTTAACCGACTAACCACTCAGGTGCCCCAGGAAGAAAAAATACTTTTGCGATATCCTACTGTAAAAACTCTTGTGAATAAGTGGACCCACAGAGTTCAGACCCATAGTGTTTAAGAGTCATAGGTATATGAGAGTGTGGCAGCTATTTTAGATAGTATGGATTTTATCTCATTTAATTGCATAGCAACCCAATGAGAAAAGTACTAGTTCTGTGAAGGTAGAGACCATGTTTTGTTTGGCTCACCATTGTATCTTTAACACTCACATAGTGCCTGGTGCATTGTAAGTGCTGAATAAATATTTAAATGAATGAATGGCTTTGGGGATGATCATAAAGTCAGAGAGGCATTTTTGAGAAAGGGACCTTTGAATCAGGGGTTTTAACAACGGGTTTTATTTGGTAAGAGTTTGGAAAGGAAGGCCATTCTTGGCTAAGGGACCAGCTTGAGCATAAAAACTGGGACAGCAGCAGGCATGGTGTATTCTGGGAAATATACGGCTTTCCTACTGAGGGTGCAGAAGAAGATGAGACTAGGTGAGCCTAGGGCCAGATCATGGAGGACCTTGAGTCATAAGCTCAGGAGTTTTGGCCGCACTCTAAAGACCCAGAGTACCTTGAAAGGTTTTCTTGTGTGAAGGAATATCATAATTAAGAGATTTTGAAGATTATCACTCTAAATATGAAACATGGTTTGGGGTAGGAAGAGTTATCGCACTAGTCTAGGTGATATGTAAGTGTATGAATTTTCACTCTAGGCTTGTTGCGGTGGTGATTTAAATTGGAGGAAGGAGAATATAAGGAAATAAAATATGCAGATCTGGCACACCACTTTTTGGCTAAGTGAATTTTCCATAGAGGCAATACTATGGAGCTGTAGCGCAGACTCACTAACAGCTTTGCAATTTTGCTCACTGGGCCTCAGTTTCTATATATGTTGCCATTAAGGATTTATGAGAGTATTAAAACAAAGTAAATTTACTATACCAAAGACGTTATTTATGTACAGTAGGTTTTCCAAAGGTCATATGTTAGGTCACATAAAGAAAATCAGCACTTCCCAACTTGATTTAATATTTTAATGGATTTTGGGTGGTATAAGAAAGGAATAATTCTGGGGTGCCTGGCTATCTCAGTTGGCAGAGCATGTCGAACGTGTAATTCTTGATCTCAGGCTCATGAGTTCGAGCCCCATGTTGGGTGTAGAGATTACTTAAATAAATAAAAGATTTTTAAAAAGGAGTGATTTTAAGTAAAATATACTTTATTTTTAAATTACTTCTGTAGTTTAATAATACATTGAACAAAATATACTAAACAAATTTCAGCCTTTTCCTGTTTAACAAATGACACATTAATGTAAGATAAAGCACTATTTGTCATATTTTAAAATGACTGTATTGCAATGTAGGTTGAAATTAACTATGTGGCATCACAATAGATAAGAACTGACTTTTTAACCTTAAATTTGGAATTCTTGCATTTTTGTACCTAAAAAGTCAAAAGGTTTTGTGCTGTTCTATTTCTAACAACTTAAAAGATTTAAGTTTACTTATTTTGAGAGAGAGAGAGATTGTACACAAGTGGGGAGGGGCAGAGAGGAGACAGAATCTCAAGTGGGCTCTGCGCTGATGGCACAGAGCATGATGCCAGCTTGAACTCACCAACTGTGAGATCATGACCTGAGCT